CGTCGGCTGACTACACACACATCACTACCCCCACCTGTGCCACCACCAGGCTTATAACAATATAATAATATACTTAGATCGTATTGTCAACTAGTAACTTCTAGATGATCCTCTTATCAACTGGTAACTTCTAGATGATCATCTTATCAACTGACAATTTCTGAATCCTCGGCAACCACGATCATTGATAGTGCGATATAGATCAAGATAATCTTCAACGTGACATTAGCACTATTGATGATTCGTGACAGTAATGATTGCACCAAGTCCGTCAAATATGGTTATTCTGGCTTTTACTAACGTTGTATTCGACATATGTGTATTTAACTTGATTCTACACTCTAGACCTGCACTCTTGGTCCAAACTCAAGGGCATGCTAAATTAAAACCAATAGTTAAATACTATAAGTTAGACACTATGAGGATCTTCTCATAATTGTGAAATCATATCTCAGAATGGCTGCTCGCTATATTGTGTTGCTGTATCTTAGAAAACAGTCGTGATCTCATTCATCATTTATTGGATTACGAGGCGAACATATATGAAACTTTTGATGGTGTTTTCGTTCTGATTACTAGGACCAGTGTATTTGGGGGTCCGAAGGGTTTCACCTTTTTAGGGGCCCATGCTTTTTGACATTCGACATTATAACATGTACTTAATAAATATATGTCTAAATTCCAATTGGTACTGTAAATCAGTAAAATTAACAAAAAAAAGATAATCATTAAGAATCAATTTAATGAATAATACCGTTTGTTTATTGGCGAGATAATGCATGAGTGAGAATCTCAATTCATATTGCTTCACGTCGTGATTTCTGTGAAGCAAAAGTCATCAATAACATCATCAGAATTCTAGATCAACGCTGTCTAGTATGTTTGTTTCCACGTGAAAATATAGATTACATAGCAGTGGCGTAATATGTAATATTTAACGGCATTTAGGGGAATGGCAAAAGCGGGGGCCCGGGGGAACTTTTAAATTTGAAAACACCCCATCCCCCACCCTAGCTACGCCACTGACTGGGACTGTCACCGCACCCACCAATTCTAATATCTTATCTTTTTCGGGATGAATCAATCATTCATGGACATTAGAACTGGTTACGTTCAAAACTAATTATTGCTAAGATATTTATCTCACAAAAGGATTTTATAAAACCACAATATGAAAATCAATAAGAGCTTATGTATTGTCTATGTACACATAATCCTGCATTATGTATTGTCTATGTACACATAACCCTGCAATATGTATACTTTATGAATTGTCTATATACACATAACCCAGCATTATGTATCCTTTATGTATTGTCTATGTACACATAACCCAGCATTATGTATCCTTTTTGTATTGTCTATGTACACATAACCCTGCATTTAGTATCCTTTATGTATTGTCTATGTACACATAACCCTGCATTATGTATCCTTTATGTATTGTCTATGTACACATAACCCAGCATTATGTATCCTTTTTGTATTGTCTATGTACACATAACCCTGCATTTTGTATCCTTTATGTATTGTCTATGTACACATAACTCTGCATTATGTATTGTCTATGTACACGTAACCCAGCATTATGTATCCTTTATGTATTATCTATGTACACATAACCCTGCATTATGTATCCTTTATGTTTAGTCTATGTACACATAGCCCTGCATTATGTATCCTTTATATATTGTCTGTGTACACATAACCCTGCATTATTTATCCTTTATGTATTGTCTATGTACACATAACCCTGCATTATGTATCCTTTTTGTATTGTCTATGTACACATAACCATGCATTATGTATTTTTATGTATTGTCTATGTACACATAACCTTGCATTATGTGTCCTTTTTGTATTGTCTATGTACACATAACCCTGCATTATGTATCCTTTATGTATTGTCTATGTACACATAACCCAGCATTATGTATCCTTTATGTATTGTCTATGTACACATAACCCTGCATTATGTATTGTCTATGTACACGTAACCCAGCATTATGTATCCTTTATGTATTATCTATGTACACATAACCCTGCATTATGTATCCTTTATGTATATCACAGCTAAGACTGCTATCCATCCATCCCAGTGGAGCTACAGCCCATGGAGGGCTCTGGCCTGCTACATCACATCCCTCCATTCAGATCTCTCCTGGGCCTTTCGTCTCCACGCCCTAACCCTAAGCTGTTGTAGATCTGGCTAAGACTGATATCCAACTGAAACAGTCTACTCCTTTTTAGACTATGGACTCAAAGACAAGCCTTATTTATAAAGGTTATATAGTTGACAGCAGAACTGGGTCTAATTGGTGGAGGCAATACTAGAAGGACACATATTAGTCGCAGTTGTAAACGTACTATCAGAAATAAGAAATACTATGTCGTAGTCCGGACCTTCTGCAGAGCGGCAGAGGATGAGAGAGAGAGAGAGAGAGAGAGAGAGAGAGAGAGAGAGATTCAATCACTAACTGTAATGCGAAGCGTAGACTACACTTCCAGGCCGATATGGCGAAAAAAGGCATTTAAAAATAATCTCTCATCTTGCAATGCAATGAACAAATTTAACAAGGTCTAAAGGGAAAATCCTGAGATACTCAAGACACAGGACACATTAAACGTCTAGAATAGATGAATTGATGGATGGAATGAAAAAAAAAGGTGTATCAAGTTCACACCGAATTGGAGCTCAATAGTTACATTTTCTCCACGACACAGTGAGATTGTAATAGTCTGAACTGTAACTAGAGAAAGGATCCTATAAAAGTATAAAGGAATATAGTTTGTATTTTCTTTCTTATCTCTGTAAAAATGCAGTGTCTATGATTTGTTACAATGATTTTATCAACTCACTCACTCTGTCTGGCATAATGTTTGCACACGTTATTTCTACAACACCCAATCTCGAATTCAGCGGAAATTGTGCAAAATTATCTTTTACCCGACAACACAAGAATTAAAAAAAAATATTTAGTTAACTATTGGTAATTAATTATTTTGTTTGATATATCGAACAAGGTAAAGAAATCGTACTTGACAGGTATGGTGGTATAAGCTGAATTGGTCCCCTTGATGACTTTCGAACCCTTAGTGAACATTGTTTAATCCATTTGAAAACTGATCGTGTAAACATTCACTAGATACCCCCCCCCCTCCTTTCTCCCCTCCCCTTTTCAGAACTGGTCCAGACGAGATATAGGATCATAGCATATTGAGAAAGTTAAATTAAAACAATTGGTGAAATAATTTCTAATGGCACAGATTTATCATGTCAAAGTATACTGTATCATTAATTACAAGACTGATCAAAACTAATTGATACAATGTACACTATATATATAAGCTTTCTTATGTTTTTCTTTGTTTAGTTTTTTTTCTGTTGATATTAGATTCAAAATATTTCTTTTAAATCTTTAGGGTACCGACTTACAAACTATAGAATTTTGTTATAATGAGATCTTTTACATTTTCCTTTAATCTCTAATTTGCTTTGCAAAAATTGAATATAGATTTTTTTACTATCTTAGAAACAGTACGCCTGTCACGCGTCTTTATATTTAGATCTGCTTGTGGCCTTGTGAACAACAAAGAATTAATAAAAATTAATAAAAGTAACTAATCGTATACGATTTTTTTGATAGGCCTATACTATGTCTAATCACTTTCAAGATATTCAATACTTCGCTTATCCCTACTTTCGTTTTCTGTACACCGGATAAACCAAAAAGCTTGCTTGCTGAATGTTCAAAATGCCCTCAATTGAACAGCAACATTTTCTTTTTTAAGTTGTTTTGTCTTTAAGTAATAAAAATTGACAGCATTTTCATGAACGCAAATATCAGATTGTTTCCATACTTCTATTTTGATTAAGTAGGCAAGTACATTCGTCTTATGTAGTTATACATTATATTAATTCCACTGTCAGCTGGGAACATGTTTCTATTTCATTCAACCTCTATCTATCTATCTATCTATCTATCTATCTATCTATCTATCCCTCACTCTATCATTCTCTTTCATCTTTGAATCAATGTTAACATTTTTTTTACATTTAGCGAAAATCTCTTTCTCTCTCTCTCTCTCTCTCTTCATTACCTTCTCTATTTTTACCCCTCTCTTTATTTACCCTCTTTTTCTTTAACATTGACTTTCTCTTTCTTGTTCTTTCTCTTTTAAATCTTTTTCTTATTCTCTATCTGCTTCCCCCTCGCTCTCTCTCTCTCTCGCTTTCTTTTTAAAGGTACCCCTTTTGAATTCTCACTAATAGTATGCATAACTCCTACAAATGATCTACTTCTATCTAGAATTCTTTCGATGAATATCACACTTTATCCACTAGCTCGCCTACCAAACTTAATTATCCAGGCCGGGTCAAAAGGTGAGACATTGTTGTCTAAATAGAAATAAATAATGTGCCTAAAGATGGTTGCTTTTGACTGGTTAAGAGTTTGAATGTTTAAATACTTAAAACAGAAATCAAAATCAAAGTCGTAGCCTAATCCGCAGTGTTTGCTTACAATGCTTGGTTATACTCTACACCCTAAATTGTCCCATAATCTTATGGACAGCCGAAGCAACAAACAAAAATCGCTTTAATAGCATATAATTATGATTGCCATTGTGATTATTATAACGAAATCCTCGGCCGATTCAAAGCTGTCAGTTCTATGATTGATGCTGGCAATAATGGTGTTTTTTTTTCTCTACCAAACCACTGGTTTTGAAACAAAAAGCGTTAGCAAGGTTTAAAAAAAAAAAAACAGAGAATTTTAGCAGTTTTACAGTTTGTAAGATAAAAGGAACACCATTTTAGCAGTTTTACAGTTTGTACAATACAAAAATCAAAATTGTAAGAATGTTACCTTTTTCGAAAGATTGATGATCGATTTAAACTGATGTGTTTCTTTGTCTGCGACGGTCCTGAGAAAATAAATTCTTTTGCAACTATTTCGTGCTGCTTTCTGAAACTAGAGTTACAGTTTGTTTCCTTCTATTGCTGTAACTTCACCAATTTTTTTTTTTTTCTGGTGCCTCTTTCACAAGGACACTAACTCCTACTAACTTTTAGTTCTTGTCTTCCCTTGTTCCTTACTTTTGAGTTAGCCGGAAAGTATGAAAGAGCTCAGTTTTTATATTTTCATGAGGGGCTCGAGTTAATTCTATTCTTGAAAGCGCCTTGTCTGACACCACGCGCAGTTTGTCACAGAGACCGCGTTGGGAGCAATCTGATTGGTTCAGGAGAGCGACCTCCTCGCGCATGACACTGAAGCACACGCGAGGCAGTTAGAAAATGAAACTCGTCAAAAATTTGACGTCTGCTAGTGGGGGAAAAAAAGTGCAGGGCTACTTTCTAGGAGTCACATTGAAACAGAGGGGACATAGAGTGACGATGTGGGCAGAAGGGAAAGTGGAAATTAAGGAGTGAATGCATTAGAGTAAGAGCTAGGCCCAGCTAGGGTGTTACACAGAGAGCTGCGTCCTGTTAGGAGTAAGACGTACGGACATTTTAAAATCTAAGACAATCTCGTTTTGTGTAGTTAAGGTCCCCCTTCAGACCATGCGATCTATGGGGCAGATGATGTTAAGGTCATCTGTTTCTTAGGCCAACGGTTATCGAGCAGGGTGTAATGTGGCCAGCACAATGATCAGCAGCCTTTACTTTCTCCAATTAAAGTCATGTACCCATTAGAATTGGGTGGACTCGGAGGCACCCGAAGATCCCGGAAATCGAAATCCCAGTCATCACCGAGATTCTAACCGAGGACCCCAGGTTTCGAAGCCAAGCGCTTAACCACTCTACCACTGAGATGAGTACAATCTCGTATTTTGTAAACCCGAAGATCACAGTTGATTCCTGTTGTCCTGATCGCAGAATTCTTTTTGGACATTAGAAAGGTTTGCTTGACTCACTTGCACATGAAGACGGTGTCATGTTTCTCGAATAGGCTCTTCACTTAGCTTCAAGGGCAGAAACTCCCAGCATCACGCCAAAAGGGTCGATGTGATCTAGCAATCAGCAGTGTTTGAAAATTATTGAGAGAACACATCTTTCAGCAGGACAACTTTTGTTTTTCAACCAATATTACATGTGTTACGTATCTAGGCCTAAACAGACATTTGGGAAACTGTCGGAATCTTTCAAGTGATAACTAGAAGTACCATAGTTCTTTGGTCTTCTTGTCTTTCAGTCTATTGAAAAACAAAACGTGAGAGAAAACGAGGTCAGAAGGGTTCAACTGAAGCATGAATTGTTGTCTGAGGATCTCTGTCGAGTTATCTGATTCAGCAATATTTTATGGTGTTTTTGGGTTTAAAGTCTTTTTTTTTAAAGTTTTTAAATATACAGTAGAGTCTGGTTAATCGAGCCACATCGGGACACGATTGCTTTGTTCCTAGTAATTACTAATAATCGGCTGCTACAATAACACAAACATGGAGTATGCTATAAAAAGGGTGATGTTATTATTGATGTTACACATTAAAACCTTTATACACGTACAAACAAGAACTAGTGTTGCTTACGAACTTTATTTATTAAAATAAATTTTTTTAAAGTGATTTACAGCACAAGGTATGCATGTGTGCTGCGCTTACCCATTGTAGAGCATAGTAAAAGTAGTTTTCCAGTCTACGTTTGAGTTTAAAAAACTGAAGAGGTGTGGTTCCATTTGACTATTTTGTGTGTCGAAATATGTAAATGGCCTCCACTTAACAAAGTCATTACAGTACCTCTCGTACCATGGGGCCAGAGGCGGCCTTAGTAGTTAGCGGGCCCCTGGGCTAGTGTTATATGTGTACACATGTACGATGGTCTGACGGTAACAAAAGATTCTCCTCATCGGATCCCCTAAGACTCTGGGCCTGGGGGTAGTTGCCCCACTTACCACCCTCTGAAGCCGCCTCCGATGAGGCACAGGATTTAAGCTAATTAGCTTCAATGTCCGTCGGTTAACGATTGTGTCATGCAACCAGCCAAACTGCCTTTCCTTTCCCTAACTTTCCATTTGAATTGGATGAGCTCAAGGACGTCCACCAATCCCGAATTTCAAAATTCCTAATAGCTCAGCGAAGAACTTCTCCACCACTTGGCCGGCAACCTCCAAACTCTGCACGTAAACTAGAAGATAACCATTTCAGATAAATTGTTGCTAAATTTAATGATAAAAACGTTAGTTGCTTTAAAAAAATACTGTTACGTATCTAGGTAACAATGCCTAGATACTATTGTTTTTTTTCTTGACCTGTAGGTTGTCTGCCCCTTTGTGTAATAAGTTTTTTATTATTTTATTCTTCAAGAGTCAAGCCAGACAGACAGTGACCGGTCCTTGACCTATGTGTGTACCTCTGGTTGAAAGGAGGGTGGTTTTTTTTTTTCTTTTCTTCTGTCTCTTTGAAGAGCGTTCTAGATCTGGGTGTTGATGACTTTCTGTTCTAGAAATTACTAGATATCGACGCGCGGTAGATTATATAAAGACCGCTCGCGTAACGTTGACGGACAGACATACGGAGACAGCCGTGAGACAGAATAGCGGAGACATTGCGTGACCCGTGCGTGGTATACCAATTGATCGTGTAAGTTAAGATTTTTCTTTTTTCAAGGCCTTGCTTGTATTTGTAATTATATTTTCAAACTATTGTATTGTAATATTTTTACATGCCATTTTTGTAAAAGGGTTTTGGTCAACCCTCCCATTTTGTATTGAGTAAATGTTTTTTTTTTTTTTTTCTTGCTTTATGTGATTCAGTTAAAAGTACTATTCGAGTTATATTTTATTAAACATTAAGTTGATATTTTACCTTCCGATTTCTTGTGTCATTTTTTTTGTTATTCATTGTAAGTCTTTGATTAAATTCAGACTTAAGATAAGTGACACAACTACCCTTTTCTATTGTCACGTTCCCCTAGGCAAGCCATTTAAAAGTAGAATTCAATTTGTAATACGTGACAATACATTCACTAAAAACATTAGAAATCGTATTCGCGTTTGTATTTCAAAAAGTACTTTAATTTCATTAGGGTAAAAAAAGAACAACGAATATCCGGAAAAGCGCTTTCCTAAACTTGTTGACAACTATTCCATTTTGTTTTCATATCAGATTAAACCACTCTTCAAAATGAAAGAAAACCGCGCGTTGAGATTTCGTTTGTTTACTTTTCAAAAGCTTACTTATTGAAATCGAGTTGACGTTTTGAACAAAGATAATCACCCGCTATTATATCCAGCGTACTTCCTCCCCGTAGATCCAAGATCTGGATCTACTTAGCATTTTAGGATTCTGAGTGCAGAGAACGTCTGCAGTGTTGTCGTCTGATCCTGCGGAGCCAACGGGAGATAAGCAGAAAATACAATCTTATACAAGTGGTTTTTATGCGCACAACTTGTTGAGTAGTCTTCTCCTGGAAAGACATAACAGACTTGGGAGATAACTCTAAGAATGAAAAGTGCGCGGTTAGATGGATTAGGTTGGTTTCTACTGTTGTTGGAGTTGCCATGGTAACACGCAGGAATTAGAATCAATCCGATATATTAGGAGATTTAGAGAAAAAACCCGGAACTCTTCAGAGACTCTTTCAATAGTCTTTCAGTTTTGTTCAAATTTAATTTGATTGGAAGAACTAATGTGTGTCTTTTGATTTTAGTGAGACTTGTTTTTCGAGTCCAAAGATTTACAACAGTATTCGACGTGGCTACAAATTTGGCCACATGCTACCACCTTTTGTCTGGCGATGGACGATTTAAGCGGTTTTTTTTTTCCCGTTTACGCCTGATTTCGGCAATAGATTTTCCTGTTAGTTTCAAATATGCATCTTCTTCAACAGTCTATTTCGGAAGACGCTTGCTGCCATGTGTTCTCATCCATACCTGTTAAAGCTAGCCGGGCCTGGGCTGGTATCTGATGTAATCTTTCTTTAATTTCTGAGGGAAAAAAGGCTCATTCAAAAGTCCTAAACACCATCAGCGCCAAGGCCTTTTCCAGATTTCTGAGCCTCGAAATTCTTTCTCCTGGTGTTTACAATGCCTTTATCTCATAGTAAGAAGAGCACATATAAACATTTATTAAAAAGGATTTAGGCGGGCCTATTTTTAAGTGATTTCTTTCAATCAGAGCGCACTATTAATCCTGGCAAAATAAGTCGCGTGTCTAATTAAGTATGATAAATAAAGAGGCAGCACTGGACATTATTATTGAGAGGAACATTCGAGTTAATAATAATCTCTCTATATAATTCTCTTCTTCCCTCAACAGTTTAAACGAGAAGAAGAAGTAAAGGAAAGATCACTCTCTTATTTCTGAGGATAGTCCACGAGGAAACAAAAAGGGGGGAGAACACGTAGTCACAAAATAGCAGGGCCGGACCGTTGTTACCAAGAAATATCACTAGTAATAAAATAGTACATGTAAGTCTGTAGTATGCTTGTTTATCTTAAGTTCTTCTTCGTGTTCAGTAAGACATCTTGTCGCAAACCTTTTTTTTTTTTCTTTTTCACAAAATTTGTCAACATTACAATTTACGACAATAGGTGTAAAACAGACTGAATAATTTCGACTATTTTGCCTAAAGAAAAATGGCGAAGAATCACATTAGTGAAGTCATTTTGAAAGATCTTCAAAGGGTTTTGATATTGTTGAATACGCTTCTCGCGAAAACTGTATACATTTTAATAGGTCCTTTTTAGAAGTTGTTACACCTTCGCCTAGACTACTTCAAACACTTTAAATATATTTTATTTTAATATCATTTAAGATATTGATATATATATAACATGGATTAATAATAACAACAAAATATAAGCCGAGCTCGCAATTAATCTTCATTACAGATCAAATTAATAAAAAAAAAACAAGGTTACAAAGACACTTTGTGTGGAAACACAAACTCAAAATCGGTTATACGAGCTATTGGTCCAAACTTCCCACTGGTAGTGACGTCGGAAGTCCGTGTTTGGGCTTTCTTTAACGATTGCACTCGGTCGCACACTTTACACAACTCTAAATCCGGGCCTGCTCATTTTTTTAAACAAATGCTTGAGTTGGCAAGGCTACATTAAAGAAACAAAGAGAAGGAGTTATTTTAAGAGGATCTATCAGTCAAAAACCACAAAAGTAAAGCAGACAACAAGAGAACTAGAAATGTAAGAGACCATTTTAAAATTGTTTTTAAAAATTATTTTAAAATTTGTTTTTATTGTATGAACTTGGGAAGGTTTGCTACCCACGAATCTCTAACACCTGTTTTTTTATTGACTCAATCCCATTGGATGTCCTG